ATGTATCATAGAATCGAGTTCCGGTCCAGTTTGGAATCTGCGAGCAAGAACTTTCCATGTTTAGCCTAATTTTTGCGACCAGGAGAATATTTACCATAGACATTACAAAGACGGACAGACAGACAGCTTAAATCGATTTCGAAAATTTGCACATATGAGGAAAATGTACACTTTATTGCGTCTCTTTGGTAATGCAAGCAATCCCCATCACTTGGTTGTGGGTATAAAAACCTTGCGCTCATACTCATAAGTTCAGAACTTTGCTCCAAAAGTTTGAAAATTCAAGTTATTCAAGTTTTTCTTTCTTTTTTTTTCTTTTACAAAATGCTTACCTTTCTCAAGTGTTACATATACGGATGAAGTCTAATGTAAGATAACACTGAGAGCATAGCAAGCCATATGAAAAAATTTATATAAATGCATTCTTTCGTTCTAAGACATATTCTCGTTTTGAATTCCCTCACTATCTACTAATTATACTCAAGTTCGATTCTCCTTTTTCCGGAATTGGTTGTTAGCTATGCTATAAACAAAAACTTTCTTTAACAATTTTCGTGACAGGTTTCAAGCTTAAGCTAAGGCTTGCATATAAGACAACTGGGTTTTTTTACGCCAAAAGTAGCACATTAGCAGGGACCTAATCTATCATAAATAAATTCAAGAATAGATAACAGCTAGCTCCTCTTAATTAGAATAGTCTAACTTTATGAATTCAAAGGTGGACATCATAGATCAATGCTTATGCGTGTAGTCAATGGCAGTGTCACTGTCAACGGTGCAAGGAGACTTTTAAAGATCTCTATTTAATATGAACGATATAAAACAGAGAGAAGAGTTTATGAATAACAAAATAAGTCCTGAATATATCGATTTAGGTGAGATGTAAGCTATCTGGACTGAACTTAAAACAATCAATCTGTATATCTTGCATAGGAACGGGAAGGTAATAATAATTGTGTTAAATGTTAGCAGCAAATGTAACTAATATTCACTAGCTTTGAAATGAACAGCACAGCGAAACTGAATTGTTTTCCAAATTTTTTGTCGAGTTCATAGTTTGATTGGCTTTCTCATTCGCTTCTCTTGATTGTTAAATCGAAAGAAAATCAATTCGATTTCAAAGCAATTTTTTAGTCAGCACAGTAATGTTGACATGAAAAAGAAAAATAATTAGAAAATAAAAAAGCGAAAAAAGAAGAAAGAAAAAAAGGAAAGAGTTTTTTTTATAAGTTTAGAAAAATAACTAAATAAATTTTAATAAAGCACTTTCATGTTTTCATTATGTTAATCATCAATCATTTTTCAGTTTTTAAATTTTTCTTACGATAAAATGCTTCTTTTGGTTTTTCGCTTAATTTTGAATTTTGTTTTGCTTCTTTTTTTTTTTTTTTTTTTTGGTGTGCAAATTTTTTAATTAATATTTTAATAATGAACACATACACACACAAACACACGCACACGCACACATCAGTGTATCTCTCATAGTCATTCCATTAAAAGTAGCCATCTAAGCTTAGTTAAGAAATTTGAAAATTTTTTTTTTCTTCAAAAAACCGTAATATCATCTGATCAGAGAAATAATAATGACAAGTTTCAAGCAATAATTATGAATTAATTGATTGACGACAGATTACAAATGCAAATGCAAATACAAATGCAACAACAACATAAAACAATTGAATAGCCATCGTGCCATACGTGTATGACTTTCACAATAATTCTCAATCAGTTCTCATGTATTTATTGTAATATTTTCAATTTTTTTTTTTTTTTTTTAATAAAGATTTTCATCACTTAAAGGCTAAGCATTATTTCTTTTTTGAATACTTTTTATTGTGTGAATGCGACATTATACCCACCAGCCCTTTACAGACACGGCGTACACTCTGTATCATCTGTTCGTATTATATATTCTCAATATTGTCATAAGATCGTACGAGTCGATACATATAAAAACACTTTTACAATCAACTACTACTCCTAAGTATCATCATCTACTGTATTATTTCGAACAATTTCGAACAAATTCGAAACATCGATAAGTGATAATAGAAAGTATTCTTGGAAAATAATATAAATTTCGATATATAATATATTGCCTATGGGCGATATGGACTAAGCACTAGTTAGTTGCTTATCAATAATTTGAATTTGAATACAACGAAATTGGAACTGGCCATAACTAGCAATTGCCTAAATGAATCTTTAAAAAAAATGTAGAATATATTCATTCATTGATCATATTTTAAATTTGAAAAATTCCCGAACCTTAAGCGAGGAGTAAAGTTGTCCTTCCTTATGTCAAATGAGTGCATCTTTAATTAGGATGGTTCCTAACAATATATATCTATAATCGAAACCAATGCCTAGTATACTACAAGGTGTGTGACTTTTAAACTTTCGTAGCCTTTGCTACACATCAAACCACTATTAGAGAAGTTGCTAAGGATATCGGTTGGCTAAGGCCATGCAGTCTTTTCAAATCTTTTGGCCATAAAACAAGCGGCGGCGAAGTTTTTTTCGGAATTGAAAAAATTTGACCAACAGAGCCGTCGCATGAGCTATTTAGTGACGTTAACGTCACCGTCTGTTTCATCGTCGAATTTTTCCATGAAAGAGCCGAGTCTTGCCACATTTCATCGTCGCTGAAAGAGTTCAAGGCCATAACAAAAAGCGCATATTAGAGGCGCTTCGGGACGTTACTTTGCAGGGGAAGTAAATATTTTTTTGAGAAAAATCGAAAGTCACTTGTTCTTTCTAACACACCTCGTATATGGAAAGTTATTAACTGACGTTGCGGTCATAGGTTGTAACAGTCACTCGTTTCTCTTCTTTGGACGAAGAATTCAAAGTATGCACTATTCTTTCGTTGGGCCGGCCTCGCTTTAATTAAGTTTTCGTATCCTATGCACATTACATGCTACACATGGTAATGGTAAAGGGGATTTGTGTTAGTTAGGGTGGAGAACTGGGCCTAGTTGTAGAGAGCGGAACTTATCTCATATATCATATCTTATAATGTGCGTAAGCAATATACGTTTCACTCATGTCTTGCTAAGCCCCTCGTTCGAACGTCTCGCTACTAATTATTTATAACTTGAAATTTTAATTTAAGAAATTCGTTACATAGGATATCAGTTGATGCGAATACACCGCGTGGGGTGGGGGTTATACGAAATTCACCCTAAGGCGAATATAATTTTCATTCACTAGTTCTTTCGTATGCTCTCTCTCTCTCTCTCTCTCTCTATCTATCTCTTTCTCTTTCTCTCTCTCGTTTTGAGTATGCTAAAGTAGATTTAGGTAAATTTTGTTTTTATTCGAATTATTATTCATTTCAATGTAAAACATCTATGTAATTACACATGTTTCTATTTTGAATAGTAATTTATTTTTTTTTATTTATATATATATATATGTTTTTTTTTTTTTATTATTATTGTTATTATTATTATTATTACTATTATTATTATTATTATTATTATTATTTAATTATAATTCTGAAAAACTCTAACCTCAAAAATATTTATTTATATTGTTAGATTTTTAAAAAAATTGATTTATTTTTAAAAACGGGATTTATTTGAAATGTTATTATGTTCGCTTGAAAATGTTTATGGTGGGTCAGATTGATGTTTTATTTTATATCTGATAGATCGGTAGTAAAAAGTTGCAGATGATATTCAGTGTGTGTATGGAAATTAAGAAACAAAGAATGCATTGAAATGTTATAAATCACAGTGTCTCAATGTTAAATAAACAAAACAAATATTAAAAGTGAAATTTTTATATAATATATATGTTTATTAATAATCTTTTTATTTGTTTGTTTGTCTGTTTTTTTTTTTTTTTCATTCATTTATTCATTTATTTATTTATTTATTTAATTATTTTTGTTTTTTATTCATTCTAGACATTCACTAAATTCCATTTATTCAACATTTGTGTGTGCTTTCGAATAATTTGTATTAAATGTTACTACGCCTGCTATACGTTCGTTATTATTGTATAATTGTGAATGAGTTTGTGTGTAGATCTTAAGAACAATATTTTGGGTTGTGTTAACTTTTCCTTTTTTTTTTTTTTTGTTTTTCTTTTTTTCGTTTTTTTCTATTTTTCGTTTGTTTTTTTCTTTTAATCATTTGAGCTAAATTTTCAATACGATTCAATTTTCAAATCAATGCGTTCTTCTCATAAGATATGTGTTTAAATACTACGGTAAGAATTTCGTTTTCTTTTTTTTAATTTAGTTTTTTGTCAAAAAATTTGTTCAGTAAATGTTTTAAATGCACAACTTATCATTGTTTGCTTTCTGAATTAATATTTTTTTTTTGTTTGTTTTTATTTTTATTTATTTGTTTTTTTTTTTTTTTTTTTTTGCTCTCGTTTATTTTTTCATTTATTCTGCTAATATTGGTCAATATTCGGAGTACGTTCGTATTTTGATTACAGTTGTTTTTTTATTTAAAAAAAAAAAAAAAAAAAAAAAAAAAAATTGTTTTGTAGAGAAAGTAATTTATAAACATTTGTGCTGTTCTCTTAGAAATTTAAACAAACGTGAGTTCACGTTGACTTACAGCATCGATGAACTCAAACTGAGCGTAAACTCATTCGCCATTGATTATAAAAACCGGACAAAATGCTCGTTGACCGCCGCCGCCGTTACTGGACTTGCGTATAGTTAACTGCTGTTGATCCATTACAGTTTCAGCATCTGTGGTATCTAAATCCTCTTCTTCGGTAGCCACGGTGCCTGTACCTGGATCCTCAGCCTCTTCCTCATCGTTTGTCCCACCTCTCTGGCTAATCAATTTTTTATTATCATTGCTTTGAGCATTATTGGCGTTCTCTTTTGCATCTTTGCTTCCATTGCTGCCAGCACCGTTACTGTCGGCTTCCTCAACTGTCTCCAAATCACCGCCAGCCAATGTTGTAGAACAATAGCAATATGATAAGTTTGTTTTTAAGTCCTCACAGAATTGCTGTTGTTGCGCAATGCTAGCAATGCGCTCACGAGCGATTTCTCACATAAACGTAGGTTTCATTTTATAAGCGCGCTTCCAGATTTCACATAAACATACCGTAGAATGAAAGCGATAGAATATTGCCAATGGCATCGATACATGAGTTATAATCGTCCAAGCCCATAAACCATAGAAATTCAATTGTATAGGATGCGATTCAGCCCGAGACTTTTCCAATGTACTTATTGCCCACATTGCGAGATTAACCACTAACATAAACGTAACAATTTCTCGACCGGGCTTTTTGCGCATATGCTCGGGCGTAATCGCTTGACGACGTCCAGCATCCAAAATAAACATTGTTTGACAAGCGGTTTGCACTATCGAAGCCAAAGCATTAATCGGGACCAGCCAATCATCGCTACGCACAGAGAAATGTCCCGCTATAACCGTAAATATATTATAAAGAAACGAACCGGTTTGAGCTCCAACCAGCAATATATCATCCAGCGAGAAACTACGTACAGCATCGTACTCTAAATGACGTATTTGAATCATGCCCACTAACGTGGCTATTGTAGCTGTAGCATAAATAAATAATTCGCACATAGTCACTTCCAATACAGCTAAAGCCACAAAATCAGGTCTTGATATCAGTACAAAAAACAATATGAGGGATATTATGGTCAGTACCAATACTAAAATACCCACAAAAAGTCCCTTATGAGCGCGAGCACAATCCACTGAGTAATGATGTGGCGACCGTTTTAAGGGAGAACTTATCATATCAGGTCGTTGTGGCGTAGGCGCTTGAGGTCGTGATATACTTTTCCACATAACATACAAAATGGCCGCGCATATGAGCGAGTACTCAATGGTACATGGAAACAAAAACGGCGAGGCATCTTGTACCAAAGTTCCCAAAATATTAGTACGACGGCATTCAAATATCTGATAGGGACCTTTAAGTCCACGCGGTACTCGCAAATGAGCGGCGGGCTCGGATGAAGCTAATATGGAATGAGCACGAGAATGGCCTGGTATACGATGTGATATGCGTAGAGTGCGATTTTCTGGATTATAAAATGTCAATATTTCATGCTTAGTCTCCTGAATGAGCACATTTAACCAAACCGCCAAATTAGTACCAATCATATGCATTAGACCGAAACGCGCTATAATTTTATAACGGTAGACTTTAATTTGCTAAAGAAGATAAGAAAGGAAAAATATTGATAGAAAAGATATTCAGGTTATTTAAAAAATTTTGTAAATTAACAATTTGGTCAGTTCCGTAGACCAAAGGCGTATCAGTATATAGAAAGGGCTTTCTTACATATGGTCATCTGGCTTGTAAGCATTTAAGCTTTAAGACTAACACCACACTCAATAAGTCTCCAGCGGCTGAGATACATTTTTAGCGGCACTATGGGTAGAGCCACATGATTTCTTAATCGTGCCAATCTTTAAACGATACGTGGCAAAATCTCATGACATTGTGTCTATTAGTTTGGCAGTTGGCAAAGTTGTTTTCAATCAAAAAATCTAAATTTCGTTTATCGATTAAACATTGCTTTGCGATGCGAGAAAATACCTTTCCCAGTCACCATTAGATTAGATTAGGTGTTACAGTGATTCGATGTGGTATGGCCACCTCTTATACGAAACACTGTGGCCGCCTTGCTCCAAGGAATAGAAAATAAAGTGCGGAAAGTCGTATAAAGTTCTGTAAGATAGCCGTCACCTTAAAGATGTCAAAAAGTAGTTTACTTATTGTTTTACACGAATGATTGTCCATGAGAAAGGTCTATTTAAAGTGAATGCTATGCTATCTCAGCCATGGCGGAATACAAAAATCTGTTTAAACTATTTAGTCAAAATGAAATGAATCTTTTTATGTGATTTACGACAATGGACGAAGCATGCATTCGTCATGACATTCCGTTGTGAAACCGGCGCTCACCTAAGTTAACAACAACGGGCGAAAGTTGCCCAAGGTACAAAATTGGCTGAAAGGGTTCATCGGCAATCTTCGAAAAAAGCTAAGTATCAATAACGGATCTAACGTGACAACCGGTTAGACTGGAGACTTTTTAAGTGTTGTGATATGCATGCGTATATCAAATTTTCTGAAAAATTCATATACCATGGGCATCATCTATTCCCTTGAAGATGTCGTAGAAATAAAGTTTTGCATAAACGAATTTATTTAGCAAATCATGCAAACGAATTGTGACTGATGATGAAAATTAGCTTTTATTATGCAAATCGTAAATCCGTCGAAAACCCTTATGGTTTAAATTAAATTAATTTTCAATATTTAATTAATTATTAACTCAAATCGCTTTGGAAAGGACATAATACTCTCTGACTCTCGTTGATGATAAAGAAAAGTTATAATAAAATGTGTTATGATAAACTTTTTAAAACATGTCTGGTCGCATACGGATGCTAGTGTTAGACAAATTAAAAGTACAAAAAAAAAAAAAAAAAAACTTGAATTCAAAGTGATTTTAAAGCTCTTGCAATGAAAGTATCAACCCTATCGCTTTCCTTCTCGTCCAGCTTTGACTGTAACTGATGAAAAGAGCAAACCAAGTGGAAAAGAGCAAAATGAGAAATTAAGCATTTACTTATTTCGCCGACGCCAGTTACAAAAATAAAAGAGAGTTTTTATATTTCAGATTGCACTGTTACGTCTTTAAGTCATTGGAATTATTTTATTTTATTTGTTTTTATTTTTTTTTTTTTTTTTTTTTTTTTTCACTTACCTCATTATTTAGAAATATAAAATACATTTGTATAAATATGAAAGCCATTCGTGTAGCGGGAGTTAAGGCCAGCAATACGTTATGGCATTTAGTGTCCGGATTAAGTTCAAAATATTGACCAAATTCCAAGCCTGAATAAATCATACTGCCGATGCCGAAAGCTGAAAGCAATAAAAAATAAAAAAAACAAATAATTCCAAGTTTTGAATTGAACTTACGATGCATGTGACATAGTAATTTCGTTTGTTTTTATTCATTTCACCAAAACGCTTGCAACGTTCAAAACGAAGCTTCAGAGATCCCACCAAGTAAGTATACATATTATCGATCAGCATCAAAATCTCTCCGTCTGGCTGTCTGTTCGTCTGCGTAATATTGGTTGGAAATATTTTCCTGCTCGCCATAAACTAACCAATCGAGTTCGAATTTGGCAGAAACATTGGAAGCTCTTGCATGCAGATTGGTATTGAATAGGTAGCAATTCGGTCGAACGACACACCTACAGCACATCGTACTACTACTAATAACACCTTTGTTCTTTAGACGGCATAAAAAATTGTTTGTTTTTTTTTTTTGCTCATGATGCATTAAACGTTGATAACAGACGTTACACAGACGGATAGACGGACAGATGGATCCCTTCATTGTTCGGTGAAGGGTAGAAAAAGCAAAATTCGAAAACCCCATAAACTGTTTAAATTCTTGGCCAATTTCAAATTCGGAATGCACCTAAGCGTGTCCGTCCAGTCGTCTTTGCATCAGCCCAACGGTGAAACGGATTATTTAATTATATAAAAAGAGTTGAAACGTTCGCAATATCGGCATATAAGTTGGCATTAAAAATTGGCCCCAAATGATTTTCGAACATATTATGATGAAAATTAAGTATAAAAATTTTTTAAATTAAGTATAAGAATTTTTCATTTTTTTTTTTCGTGGATAAAAGAATATATTCTCCAATTCACTTTCATCAACGATGTATAAAATTTATTTGACTCTCAACATTACGGTTATTTGACAAACTTAATGCGCTTCCTGTGGCGGTTAAAAACAAAGTTTAACTTCGATATGCTAGACATCTATATTGCAACATATATATATATATATATATACATATATATACCGGATAAATTATTAAATAAAATTTATTTCTTCTCTCGAAAAACGCAATAAATGAACGGAAGCCGGAGAGACTTAAGATGTGTAATATGTAAGTGAAAGCAAAAGCAGTAGTCTTCGCTTAGCGGTTCACATACCATATAAACACGGAAAATATCAAATTTAATTACCAAAAATTTATTAGTGCTAGAAAAATTATTACATTCCAATAAAGTTTACAATAATTTTCTCCTTTTTATACACTGCACCACTTGTTCGTTTCCTCGGCATTCGTATGAAACAACCAGAAGAACTTGAGATGCAGCCATCGTTTAATACACTAATTGGTTGAGAATCACCTTTTGAATCGCTATGAACATTCCTATCCACCTGTCCATCTGTCCGTCTGTTCATTTGAATCACTTTCCGAATTGACTTCAATTTATCTGCTCGTCTGTCCATCTGCTTGGGTATACTGAACTGTTTTGATCTCAGGGCGAACGCCATTGAAAATGGGCTCGATTTGAACTACTTTCTCGACCACTCCCCGTATAAAGCATTGTTTCAAACAACAGCATTAAGCGAAGCATTGGACGGTATTTAATGATGGACCGCGTCTCACTATGACTTTTTTTTCACTTTTTCTAACAAAGTTAGTTTTCTAACTAAATTTTCCATTACCTTTATCTAAATGCTTGGGTGAAATAAGGGTTTTTTTAATGCGTACCACTCAATGAAAAACTTTCACATGTTTTCATTAACGATTGCTCTGCTAAATGGATAAAAATGTTTATAAAAGGTATTAATCAAATTAAAACTGAGCGAAAAATACTGTAATAAACATAAGCATGACATACTCATATAATTTTGTAAATAAAGTTATATATAGCAAGCCATACAATGTAATACATTTTGATATTTTTCTCCTTTCAACTTTTAAGGGAAAGGTTAAACATTAGCTTTATTAGGCAAGATATAAAGGTCACTTATGTTAGCCATAAATAAAGTGTAATTTATTGGATAAAATAAACGCAAAGTGAGTTAGATAGTAATGAAATAATATATAGTCAGTCTTTTTTAAAGTTTTTATAGCCAAACCTTTTGCAATTAAAAATCTAAACAATCGCCATTGAAAGCGGCCCCAATAATTCAATAAATTTAAGAAACTGAATATACTCGTATCTTATTATTATTATTATTATTATTATTTTTACTATTTTATAATATAAAAATATTTATATTACAATGTGAAAAATATAAAATATATGCAAAGCGTTTTTGCATCTACGTGCCTACGGTAAGGTAAAAACCTAGCGGAATTCGTCAAAACAACATAATTAACATAGAGGTATATAGTGAGTCCTTACAGTCCAGTATTTTCTAATCAATTGAAAATTCAACAGATACCTATGTCCAAGAGTACGCACACACTGAACAAGCATATATTTACTAACGAAGATTTTGATAAAAAAAAAAAAAAATAATAAAATAAAGAGACTTTGATTTACTATAGTGTTAAGAGTAGGCGTGACCGATTTTTTTCATAATTATTTTCATAACTATCGCCGTCTGCGAAAATTTTTTACAATTGTATTTACTAGAGCTCATTACTAACAAACCAATTTTTTCTTTGCTTTTGAAAACCGAGATCTTCTTAGTCTGTTCGACCAACTATCTGCAAGAATTTCCAATTTATTTCTTTTCTGCTTTTTTTTTTTTTTTTTTTTGGCAAATTTGAAATCGATATTTTCAGTTTTGCAATTAGGACCAGACAGACCAACGGACAGGTATGCTTAACTCAATTTAAAATTTAATGCTAATCATGTACAAAAATATTTCATGGCGTCTCTCAAATTTGCAATCCCCGTGCTTCGATGGTGGATATAAAGAACTGAATAGCTAGTCTAGTCATTTTAATAAAATAAAGCACTTTACTGATTGATGGATTGCGTTGTGCCATCTGTACTTCCTTTATCCCTTTAGGATTAGTTGTATCGAGTGCGAATTTTCGTAGTCGCGACAGATTTTTGCATTCATTTAGCATTCTTTTACACGCATTCATTTATATGAAGAAGAAGAGTTTTTAGACCGATTTATAGAACGATCCAATTAATTGCATATTCATGTCCCGAGGCTTTATATAAATCAATCTAATATTGCGTAGATATTCACTTGTCAGAGTTATCCGACGGTCACGGTCAAGTGAATCGTTAAAGACAAGAACTTTCGAAATTTGTTCGTCATAAAGTTGATTAAAGTTGCTCGTCTTGATCGCGGCACAAACAGCGATTACCTTATCTAAGCTAAAATAATTTTTCTGCATTTATTATCTACCTTCCCTCAGATTTCATTTTTTTTTTTTTTTTTTTTTTTAATATCTTTAAAGTCTTCAAATTACTGGTCTACTACCCATTTCTACAAGGTATGCGTGTAAGTCATAAATCTTAATAAATATCGTCATTGTAAGCGTGTGCATGTTAAGAGTTTATAAATCATGAATATGTGGACACTAACCAGACAAACTTACCTACTGCACCCATACGTAAATAAAAGCTGCCATAATGATGTTGCCGTCCCAAAGGTGATAGTAACGAAGGTCTACGGGCCGTTGGTATCTGAACTGAGGATAAACGTTTATTATGAACTGAATTACTTTCAGTATCTGATTCATCCATACTTTCCGAAGCGCTGGTTGATCTCGTTTTGGCCGATGATTTTGTAGGTGAAGCTTCGTAATTAAAGAAAAATAAAATTTTATAAACACTCGAAATCTATGATTAAAAGGCGTGATAATGCGAAAATAATAAAACTTTTATAAGTTTTCATTATCGTGCACTAAGATCTTTATTATTATGTTTTTTTTTAATTTTTCATGTAATGATCTGCACCAAGTTATCAAACTAAGATATTTAACGACATGTTATATTAATGGGTAAAGCAACTGCAACACCATAAACGAATGCGTCCACCGCATGGGTTAATAAATTGCAATTAAAATTTTAGCATTAATAGTGGACATATAAGTGAACCGATCACGAGCATTTTTGAAACGGATATGCCGAAAGTTTTGATGAACATTACGGTAGCAAATTATCGGGCAAATCTTCGCGGAATCGAAAGTTATAGACGTAAATATGAAACGAAAATCGGGATGGTTTCAGCGTCTAATCTGCTGTAGACGTCATAACTATTATTTTTTTCTTTTAGCCTTGAATTCTTAATCGATCATAATTGTAAAAATAGATATATGCACAACGGAGATATATTCCAATACTTAATACCTATACTATCCTAATATCTATAAATTATCCCTTACTTAACACTAGGGCTACTGATGTTGTGCATATATCTTTTTCTACTATGGTCTTACAAATTGTTCAACCCATTTGCTAAAAGAATGTAAACAGTACTGTAGGATGGATGTACAAGAAAAGTGTGACTTTCCCATTTAAAAGAACTGCGTTAGATAGATCCTTTAGTTACTTGGTTCATTCATTTTGAAGTAAATACATTTTTGACCACACAACACAGATCAAATCGATTCGTATCCTTGATAATAAAAAATGGCATTTCTCTTCATGGTCACGTGGAGTGACCACTACCGCGTTACACGTGTAGGCCACATCCCACGAGTGATCGCTCTTATTAGGAGTTATACCAATTTGCAAGGAGGAAAAAAGTAAAATTTTCTAAAAAATTCTTTTTTTTTTTTTAATTAAAGAATTCTTTTATCCAAACTTCTAAGCATATAAGTGAGCAATTATATAAATAAATATTTTATAAAGTTTTTTATATACAATTTTGGAAAAGGAAATCGCTGAAACCTGGAGTTCAGTGACCCCTTAAAAAAATATATCATCGCGGCTGTTAGGATACCTCATGATAATGTGAAAGGAAAACCCATACATTTTCGTCATTCAAAAAAAGATGAAAGTTCTACCGACATGGTATCCGAATGCTGCCAGAAAGAAACGAAAAAGTATTGACTAGTGATGGACAGCGCCTTGAATAAAACGTAATGCACTGTTCTTTCACAACAATTTCCTAACTTTTATTAACAAACGACAACGGCAACTTATTTACACTCCACTACAAAATACCATTTCAAACATTTTCTATTACCAATGAAGCTCATAATTAATGGGAGGATTAAAAAACAAAACATCAAAATTTGAATTGTTGTTGACAGAGTTACAAGCAACAAAGTGCAAGTTTTGGACAAATTTACACCACGGTTTGCTTTATAAAATAACTCGTCATCAAAGGCAAAAAAAACTTGTGCTCAAAAACAACTCAATCTCATCCATAAGACATGTAATAGACGAGATGGTTTTTTTAATTTTTTGAAAAGTAAAAAACAAAAAATTTAAATAAAATATGATTCAACCTGTCGAAACCAATGCAAGCTCCCAAGTCATATTTTATGGCTTTTTGTTAGCTCGCCTTTTTGTAAGTACTACGTGATTGTCAACGCATAACCTGGAATGATATCTTTAGTCAACAATACGGTAGAACGATATCAATCAAAAAATTATTGAGTCAATCGTTCTCTTCAGACAATTCGCAATTTATGATGTTTTTTTTAAACAGTTTCTGCTTTTCGTCCGATATTACTTGCGTATGTGTAGAGATGGATGGAGGGATGTGTGATTGTATTCGTTATTTTATTCTCTTAAACACTCTTCACATCGAGTAGCAGTAATTTTCGAACTTCAATTTTTTTTTTTTTGCATTCTTTCCTAATGCAATTTCGCTACCAGAATGTAAGGATATTTCACTTAACTTTGTCCTAGAGTAACTTGACATTTTTGCCATTACTTGCTTACATAAGTTTTACGTAAGCAGTCTTGTGAATAGGTCCCTATTTGAGCGCAAAACCCGAAGTGTACATACGATGACGCAGAATGCATCGATCAACTTACTTTCATTTTTAGTAATAAAACACAAACGTCTTACCCCCGTTAAACACCAGCATAATGAGTTAAATTTTAGCTGCCGTGTACTCGCCGACAAGACAAGAATCTTACAGGCCGTTCAAAGGCAATTATTGTGCCATGGAATATTAATGCTGCGCAAAGGCTAACAATGCAAGTCAATATATTGTGAGATTGAGGCCACCTTAGTCATCTTAGTTCTTAAATCACTTAATCATGCAAAGATTTTTTTTTTTTACATATCATTTTAAAAGATAGCCGTGTCGAGGAGCGCAAGCAAATTCTAGAACAATTTCAATAGCATTACTTCAAAAGACGTATATAAGATCCTAACAGGTTTACATGCATCGGCATTTCGAGTTGACTCAACGAACCCAAAAAAAAGTTGAAAAGTGGTCTGTCTTCTTTTTTCCCCGAAAAGCTGCTGATCACCTAATAAGAATGCCTAAATCATTGGTGAAAAAGCACAAACAAACAAACACTGGCAGATAATTCTTGATTACGACAATGCGAGTTTTCACATAACTCTTACCGAATAAGTTGTGAATAACTCGTACATGGCCAAAAAGAATTCCATGTTGTGTTTGAAAAGCAATAAAGCAACTTTTTAATGACAAGTTACCGCTCGTTCATTATTAATCTTGAAATGTAATGATCGACGTATGTCTATGCCATAGAGTTGAATTTTATGCAACGCGTTAAGTTTTCCTTATGTTTCTTTATGTTTCGATCGCGACATTCAGTCATTAAGTCAAAAAGAGATTAAGTTTTTCTTTTTACATTTCCAACCTATAAGAAGATATTGACGAAATGATTTCTTATTTAGCTTAAGAATTTTGTAAGATGTTGTGGTCTAATGCCGAAATCGATGCGAAAAAAGATGAAAAAAACTAGATTTCAGATGCCTGTCTAGTTCGATTTTTCTTACTTTATAATCGATATATTAATTAAATGTTATTAAATTTATAACCCACTTTTCTTTTTTTTTTTTTTTTTTTTTTTTTTTTTTTTTGGTTTAAACATTTTAAACTAATACCATATGCTCCTTGAAATAATTGTTATGAGTTCATTCTGATAGTTACCGATATTAATGGGTAGTTTAGGACGTCCCCACAACAGTGTCGCGTACATGAACAGCAAGAAGATCATGCTACCAATATATAAATATAAATAATACACCTGAAAAGACAAAGACAAAGAAGGAAAAAAAAGTATTAAAAAATATTAAAAAAATATTAAATCGCTCTAAAGCTTATGACTTATATACGATGAGACAATAATTCAGCTTCAAATTAATTATTCTCTCTACGCTTTTTCGCTTTTATTAATAGTTGTAACAAACACTAAGTCAACTAATTTCGAATAAGTGCGAAAATTGCAATCACGCGTACGCGCGACATTTGATGGAAATTGATTGACGTGAAACTTGTCGAGCAAAATGTCAATGTAAATATAAAATATTTTACTTATTGCAGGCTTACAAGTAAGCGATTGGGAAATATTTCATACTAAAGCTCATCGATATACGAATTGGAATGGAGTAAATCTTGTATTTTTCGCGGCTGTACGTGTGTGTGTGTGTGTGTGTGTGTGTGTGTGCCAATCTAAGAAATAATATTAGAACGTACACATAATGAGGGTGTGTCCGCTTGCTATCTTAATTCTAGCGTAGCCTGTGATAAGGCTAACAACACGCAAGAGCAAATAGATGAAAAACGCGTGCACCGATTAAAATCATCTCTACGTTACCGAATCCCTTGCAGATATGTTTAACAAGATGTCGCATACGGGACGATAAAACTAACATATATATATATATACTTATACCTATGTATATGTGAGTAGATATGAAGACATATGATAAACACTAACTTTGCATGTAACAGCTGCAATAAAATAACCAACAGTCATATATCACAGAGTCACATGTTAGTGTTAAACACTACATAGCAAAAAAATGAACATTTGTCCTGTTACGTTACGTAACTTAGTAACAATCCAGACATCATGTCGCATAAGCGTTATAAACATTATCATGAATGTGTCTATGTGTTGGTACAAGAAAAATTAATGTCGTGTGCATTTGAACATGACAGTCGATCTCTATATATACGCGTGGCTATAGACCCCCACAGACATTCACTTACTCACTCATACATAAATATATATACACATATGTACACACACGAGCATATATACACGGGATAATGGACACGCGGACACATGGACACATGGACAGATGGACAGATGGACGCACGGACAGGACACATGGACACAATTGCATAAAACTCAAAATCAAAGATTTTAATGGTAACAACATTCTCTCTTAGTTGTCATTTGATTTACAGATGCAACTGAAATACGCATACACATAACACACACACGCACGCACGAACATTCACTTACATATATCGCAACACATAAACATATATATGAGACACTTTGCCTCAACCGTTCAAAGTGACACGAAATGCTACCGTGTATTATTTATAACATGCATACACACTAACATTGTGTATGTATTGTGTCTATGATTTTCAAAATTGATTTTCAGTTTCGGATGATTAATTTCCGGTTTCGTTTTTCCCCAGATTGAAGGTCTTTTAGGAATTTCTGTCTTTTTTTTTTACAAGTCTTGTAGACACACACACACACACGCACACACACACACACATACACATACAGAATTTAAGAAAAAAGGAACGTTCACTTTTCTACCGACAACAGCAATATGGCATAGTCGATTAGTAGATCGTAATAGTAACATTTCCAATTATATATTAGGATGTGAATATTCGAAGGAAATAATCATTGAAAGAACTTACCTCGTAAAATGAAGGTGGTATATAGGTGGATATAACTTCGGCCATTGGAAATGCTATACCCATAACAACCAACAGTTTACCATATAAAGCTGAAAATAATGTTGCCAATGCATCACCGCTGTAAAATTGTAATAAAAAAGAAAGCAATCGAAAGCAAAAGAAAGAAAGCGAAATTATAATATAGCATATAATATAATAATTGTAATAGGTTGCATAAGAAATATTATCATAATCGTTGAAAGACGACAATCAAAAATATGATTGTATAAAAATCGCAAAAGGATAATCTTGATGATGCTTTACCTGCCCTATTAAGCTGACATTCGCGCCGAATATTTCACGGAAAAAGTGATTAACGGACTTGTGCTTGTAAAATGTTATATAAACAAAATACTTGCGGACGCCAAAGTGGATTGAGTCAAGTGTTATGATAATATTCCAATGATTTGTAACTAGATCTCTTAGGAATTGTAAATAAAACCTACGCTATCCTAAAACTCACGATGCATTGATAGGAACTTAATCGCAAAATGATTCGAATAAAAACATAAATTCGCAAAGAGACAGATTATGCAACAGTATGTGGTATAGCAAATGTATTGAAAATATTATGATATTTAAAATGCGTTGCTCATGCGGAAGTTCTTGAACGACCTAAGCGGATCAGAATCTTTTCGTGTCGGCTCAGTAATCCCTTAAGATTTTAATTCGCTGGCATTCATTTTCTGATTGTATCGTCAAACAAGTATATGCTGTGATGTTTTTAGCAAGATTCCAAATCTACTTTTGTCGGCAACTTCCGATGCATTATATTAATGTTAGGAGTTTTCGAAACTTTTTCAAAGTAGAGCTCCGAGTCATTCCATTGTCTGGCGCAAAAAAACTCATAACGTATCATATATGAAACATTTGCCATAAGCTCGGCCGCGGTCAGTGTGGACTTTGTAAGTGATCCGTGAGCGGTTTTTCTTTTTTTTTTCTTTTTTTTTGTGTATCATATTGATATGATAGGAAACTCATAAAAATTACAGATAGGAATTCGATCCATCTTCACCAGACCACCATTAGTATGATCGGTAAATGGGAGTTTTTCTACAGGTTATGGGGACGTGATTTGCTTAAATCATAGCTACTGTTTTGGTTGCGTCTTGTTTCCTCTTCATTTTGAGTAGGCTTTGCCGATATAAATTTTTTGATCACTCGTTTTGATCACTCGTTCTCAAATGCCTAAAAAAATTAGTTCAAGTTGCTTCTATAGGACAGAAATAGATCTGGAGTCATTTCTAAGCGTCATTATAAGATTTCTTAAAAACGTTAAGTATCTTCTCACTTCAGTTACGATCTCTTAAATTCATGCTTGACGTAAATAAATGCTTTAATGAGATAAATTTCGCGTTTGTAGTGTGATATAAAGATAAAAATTCGATCAAGTCGGCTTCTTTTTTTCTTTTTTTTTTTTTTTTGGAAATTAGATCATATCACGGTCTTTAATGCTTTCTTTCGTTGTCCATTGAGCAGTGAATACTCTCACCAAAGCACCAAAAAAAAAAAAAAAATAAAAAATAATTCTTTGCTTTTTCTTTCCTATAGTCTATACATAATATTATAAAATCGCCCAGTTCCAATTTGGTTATAAATTTTGCTTAATTTTGTTGCAAATAAAATGTCAGTAAATTATTTAATACGCAGCATTACATATATAATGCAACGTAATTGTTGAACAATTCACTAACGTCTTAACGTGATAAAGCAATCAAAACAAATACGCTAAGAATTAAAAAATTTCTTTGAAAGCACTTTCTACTTCAGACATACGGCTGTAATCATGGTAATGCTTGCACTTGTACATACACACACACACACACACACACAAGCGTACATACACAAATTAGAGCAATTTTAGTGCAATAACCTGCAATACAACATGCAAAGGCAAAAAGGATCGTCTTGGTAGCATTATGCTATAACTATGGCACTTATTATTGTTAGTGTTATTGTTATAATCAAGGCACATTTTCTAAATACATGTGTATGCTTATATGAATTTGCACACACATATATTTTGAAAACAAAGCATTGCGGTGAAATATTAACAAACCCATACAAAGAAAGCACTGTTAACCAAAATCCATCGTCACCCAACTTCAACCGCATATTTCATATATTTGTATACAAAGTATTCTTTCTATTGACAATAACAGCAGTCATATATGGGAAAACACCAACATCAACACCAACACCACCTCCATGAACACGGGCACCATCGTTGTCGTCATCATTATTATCATCATCATCAGTGTATACACAATTGCCGCTACTATTATTATTATTTAAAAAATTGGTTTTTTTTTTTTTTTTTTTTTTCTTCCTTTCCTTTTTAATGCGTTAAATGTCATCACATTCACCTACACTCCCATATTTATAACGAAGAGAACAACAATACACGCCCACACATTTGCCTAAAGTCATAAATCACGTGCTTATTTGTCTTTGCTTTGTCGTCACTACTGTTGTCTAAGGTTTTTCCCTCTCTATACCTGTACAAACGATGTGTGAATATTTGCAAGTGTTTGTATGCATATATCATATGTGTTATTCAAATAGTTGAGATTTATGAGTATTCCACACTTTAACTTTAACTTTGAATTCTCGTTTGTTTTCATGTTCTTTGTAAGAGAAAGTAAAAAAAAAAAAAAAAAAAAAAAAAAAAAAAAAAAAAAA